TTTAGTTAAGGAGTTATTGATACTTCAAGTGCAAAATGCTGATATAAAACCTTGGTAAAAATATATTTTTAAGTATCAATCACCAACCTTGTCATCATGAGGAGTCTTCAGGTCAACCCTGCAATTAAGAAGCACTAAGTTTTCCAACCTTTTCATCGAGAAAAATAAAGTTAATTTCAGTCATCAGGAAGGACGTATGTCAACCTTGCAATTAGGAAGGAAAAATGTCAGTCCTATAAAATCACAAAAAAAAAAGCATCAATTGAAAACATTTGATCAAACCTTATCATTATAAAGAAAATTGAGAAGAACTCTACCATCATGAAATTCTAAAAAAAAGAAAAAAAAGGAAAAAGAAGAAGAAGAAGAAGGAAGCAAATTCAAACCTTGCCAACATGATAAACATATATGGGCAGGTCGCCCGTGAAAATAGACCAGTGAGTGTGTAGGCCAGTTACCCCTAAAAATAGACTAGGATGAACATGTGTGGATAGGTTACCCATGAAAATAGATTAATATGAGTGTGAGAGCAGGTTGCCCATGAAAATAGACCAGAATGAATATAAGTGGGCAAGTCGCCCATGAAAATAGACCATATGAGTGTGTGGGTTGGTTTCCCTTGAAAATAGACTTTGATGAACATGTGAGGGGAGGTTACCCGTGAAAATAGACCAATTTGAGTGTGAGGGTAGGTCGTACTTGAAAATAGACCATGTGAGTGTAAGGGCAAGTCGCCCATGAAAATAGACTATGTGAACATATAGGTCGGTTGCCCCTGAAAATAGACCATGATGAACATATGTGGGTAGGTTGTTTGTGAAAATAGACCAATGTGAGTGTAAGGGCAAGTTACCCATGAAAATAAACTATGTAAGTGTATGGGCCAGTCGCCCCTAAAAATAGACCATAATGAACATGTGTGGGTAGGTCGTTCGTGAAAATAGACTGTGTGAACATATGGGGCGGTCGCCCCTAAAAATAAACCATGTGAACATATATAGGAGGTCGCCAGTGAAAATAAACCAATGTGAGTGTGAGGGTAGGTTGGCCATGAAAATAGACCATATGAGTGTGTAGGCCAGTTGCCCCTGAAAATAAACCATGATGAACATGTGTGGGCAGGTTGCTTATAAAAATAGACTGTGTGAGTATGAGGGTAGGTCATCCATAAAAATAGACTGTATTAACATGTGGGTAGGTCGCGCCTGAAAATAGACCATGATGAACATGTGTGGGGGGTCGCCCATGAAATAAACCAATGTAAATGTGAGGGCAAGTCACCCATGAAAATAGAACGTGTCAATGTGTGAGCCAGTCGCCTCTAAAAATAGACCAGTGTGAGTGTGTGGCCAAGTCGCCCCTGAAAATAGACAAGTGTGAGTGTGTGGGCCAATCGCCCTTGACCTTGTGAGTGTGTGGGTCGATCACCCTTAACCAAGATGAACATGTATGGGTAGCTTGCCCATGAAAATAGACGAGTAAGTGTGTATGGGTAGGTTGCTCATAAAAGTAAATCAATTTTCTTCAAAAGAGGTAGATTGCTCAAGATAATGAGTTCATTTTCTTTTCTTTTTTTTCTTTACGAGCTTACTATGCAAGTTATTGATGATGTCTTGCTTCGTAAATATTGTAAAGAGAGGGCATCTGTTGTTATCTATTTTTGGGTTCCAAAAAAAATGAGAAAATACAAAAAAAAATGAGAAAATACAAAAAAAATATTCGAAAGAAATCCAAAAAAATAATATGAGTGAGAAAAGGATGCTGAAACGTCTAAAAAATTTTAAAATTGGTTGAGGAGGTTCAAAAATATAAAAATTTGGAATTTGACAGTATATCGTTAACTAATGAGAGCCTTGTTGACAAAGAAAATTTAATTTTTGAAAAAATATATCCAAAATCAGACGTTTATACACTGAATTAAATTTTATTTGAGATTTAATTGAATTTATGGAGGGTTGGATTGTAAGAAAATTGATTTTTAAGTCAATTTAGGCTTTTATTGAAAGAAATTAAAGCTCTGAGGTCCAATTATAATTTTGAAAAGTTGATTTGGTCAAATCAGGGGCTTAAGTATATAATTAGTGAAGTTTGATGGCCAATTAAAGATTTAATTGAAACAACCCAAAACTAAGGACCAACCCAAAAAAGATATTAAAATCAAGGGATCCAATTACAACATTTCCAAGGGGGCTTGATTACAAAATTATAAAAACATTTAAGGACCAAATCAAAAATATCATTTTAAAATTGAAAACGGCGCTGTTTAATTAAGAATTGCGCTCACTGTTCATGGTCTTCTTCAAAAGAAAGAAACGGCTGGAAATAAAGAGACAGTGGAAGCGTTTTTTGCAGAAACAGTGGAGCTATTTCAGTGGAGCATGTCTCGCGCCGGCTGTTACCATGTGCATGCCATAACGCATGCATCCTCTGGCTATAAAAGCCAGAGGAGGGACAGGGGGGAAGAAAGGAGACGACATAGAAGGGGAAAATAAAGGAAACAGAGAGAATTGGGGGGAGTAGGAGACAGGGAGAACGAGACAGTAAAGAGAAAAAACAAAGGAGGAGACAGGGGGGGACGAGAAAGGAGAAAGAAGAACAGAGGAAAGAACAAAGTGGGAAATTCAGGAGAGTGAAACACAAAGGAAGGCCGCATGAGGATATAGAAACAGAAGAGCAAAGGAACGGTAGAAGGAGAAACCAAACGGCGAATCCAAAACACAAAGACAGTAGGGGAGGTTAACACCACCATCGATTTCCTTTCTCCAGAAGCAGGTATGTTCATGTCCTTTCTTCGCAACAATTAACGCCAGGTTTGTCTAGAAAAACAAAATGAAACAAGAGACGAAAGCAAGCCAAAAGATCGCCATTTTGTTTTTGCTCTCTTAATAACCAGGGGTCTTTGTTTTTCCTATCTGCAAAAAACAAAGGATTAACAGTGCGAAGATAATATAATTACCTTCACACTGTTCCATACATGCGTAGAATTTTACGTGCGCATGGCGTAAATTATTAATTTTTTATTAAAAATATTATATTTTTATCATATTACATGTTATTTTAATCAAGATAATAAAAAAAATATTAAATATAATATAAATTATATAAAAATATTTAAGTGATAAATTTTTTTTTATTATCCTAAGTAAATTAGACAAAATATTTTATATGTTCTCAAATAGTTTTGAATAAAACATTATTGGCTAAGATAGAATGAAATTTGAAAAGAGTTTCAAATCTTATTTAAATTATCAAAGATGAATAAAGAACAAACATGATTTAATATGTCATACATACTCCATGCTCTAATATTAAATCAAAACATTATTGATTAAAGAATATTAATTATACCAAGAAACCGGTTACAGAAAGATTAAGTTAAACCACCAATAACTTTTTTAATGTTTGAGGAATTATAACACGTTGCTAAACGATGCATTTGATCTTTAAATATAAATTAATTAACTGTTGAATTAATAATAAATTAAATTATTTAATTCTATTTTATTATAATTATAATTTATATTTGGGTTAACATATTAAAAACCTAATGGATCATACATATTAATAATCATTAATCATAAATTAAAATGGAATAATTTAATTAAGTATTACTTGATTAAAATATATTTTACAAATTAAAAATAAGAATGTAATTAATAAAATAATTATATTTTTAAATTTAGAAAAATCAAATGAGGACTTGATTAGATTTACTTTTAAAACTATCATAAATTAATTTGTGATATTATTCAAGGATAAAATTGATATTTTATTTAATTCATAATGTTTTTTAAATATTTCTAATAAAATTCTAAAACATCATAAATATTTTTATTTTATTATTTTCACTAAATAATCACCGTATTACAATTATTAGTAACAAAGTGCTTTTGATTTGTTGTTTACTATAATGTTCAAATATTTAATTTTTATTTATAATTTCACAGGTGTTTGCAAAATCCTTACTTGTTGTTTGCGGAAATTCTTATTTCATGAATTCTAAATTAATAAAGAAAAAAAATAAAAAGCATAACAACATACAAAAATCACAATAATATAGATAAATAACAATTATGTTGTAAACATTTTATGTTATTTCTTATAGCTTGCATCGTCATTCTCTTTCCATTATCCTTCAAGTGGGTACATATCTTCCAAAAGGACAGTTCTGATCCCTTGACTTACTGTTTCTTTCTATGCTTTCACTAGTGTGAAAGCAGACGAAGGAACTACGAATTTCCAACAGCTGCCTTATCTTCCACCATCACACAGTCCTTGATCTCTTGTATCATCGTTAACACTTGCCACGCTGCCGGTCTCTGTTCTGGTGAGGTCAAGCGACAAATGCAAGCAAGTTTAGTAATCATTCCAAGGTGGTTGTCATCCCCGCCACCATCATCTCTCACTGCCCTGACCCAGGCCAACATACCAGCGGGCACAAGGTATGGATGCTGTGATGGATGTTTACCTGTCAAAAGCTCCAGTAATAGGACACCAAATGCATAGACATCAGACTTGGCAGTGGCTTGGTGGCTTGACTTGCGAGTCTCAGGTGCTTTACATGCTGCAGAATCAGGATCTTCACTAGAAGAAGTGTCTGCAAGCAAGGCAAGGCTGTAATCTGTGATGCAGGCCTCAAAATCAGCTCCAAGGAGGACATTGGCGGATTTCAGGTTGCCATGGACAAGATTCGACATTTGGTGGATGTAGGCAAGACCCTCTGCCACATCTTCTGCTATCTTTAAGCATGATGTCCAATGAAGCGGCTTCGCCCTCGTAGATCTTGAACCTGCGCAAATTGTTTCCAGTTGTAAACTAAGGCCGTTTGTTTACAATAAAGTAGTTTTATTTAGAAAGTATTTTTGTTGAAGTAAATTTTAAAAAAATTAAATTATATTTTTTATATTTAGTGATATTATAAAAACAAATAGTAAAATATTTTTATATATTTGATTATATTATAAAAAATAAGTTGAAAAATAATTTATTAATATTTTATTTTTTAAAATTTTTTAAAATAATAAAAAATAAATTTTACAAATTAAAAAATTAAATGAGAATATAATTGAAAAAAATATAATTTTATAAATTATCTTAAATAAAATAAATAATAATTAAAATAATAAAAATCAAATCTAACATATAAAAAATAATAAAATAATAATAATTATAAGTTTATAAATTATTTTAAATAAAATAAGTAAAAATTAAAAGAATAAAAACTAAATTTAATAAATAAAAAATTTTAATTAAAAAACTAATAAAAGAAAAATAAATATAATCATAAAAATAAAAACTAAAATTAATATATAAAATTAAATTAATTAATTTTAAAGAATAAAATTAAAAAAAATAATTTTAACAAAATATAAATAAATAATATGATATTTTTTTAATTTTTCATAACTACTAAAACATATTTACCGCTCAAAATAAAAAAAATTATTTTTTAAAATTTAAGTTAAATTTTCTGTTAACAAAAAACTATTTTCTTCTGATTAAAAATTATTTTTTTAATCAATATTTTTAATAATAAATATATATAAAAAAATTAAAAAATTACTTTTTAAAAAATTACATTTTAACAAACAAACACACCCTACACCCACAGGGTGATAACCCTTAAGATCAGCCAACAAATAAATGAACTCTTAAAGCACGAAGACTGGCCCATCAAGTTCTCAAAGGATGACACAGTCGAGTGTCTGCCTAACTAATTTTCTTGACAAATTTACTGTGAAGCTTGCACATTAATAGTGAGAAAAAAAAAGACCAAAATTTAAATTCAAAACACTCAACATCAATGCAGCAAGTAAGTGATTGATGTGAACTCAGCCGAAGGACATGTTACGTTGAAGAGCGATCCATGCTCCTACAAGGACAAAAGTTTCAATTCACTTTGACTTACAGCTCACGCCATGATTAAAGTCTAAATAATTGTTCATTTTGAAAACACACCGTGATCGTCGGCAGTGGAACATCAACATTACAATCCAAATTCCCAAAAAGCTGCAACAGTTTAATATCGGTTTGGAATGATGCTGGAAGTTGTGTTCTTAAATGTTTTTTTATTTAAAAATATGTTAAAATAATATTATTTTATTTTTTAAAAATTTATTTTAATATAAACACATTAAAAACATGGACTTACACAGTTCCTTGTGAGCCAGCCATCCAATGCAGTGACATAACATGAACATAAAACCATACAAACGCGATTCTCTGGTGGGTCAAACTGGATTATTTATGTCTCCTATCTATTTCCAAACATTAGGCCCAACTCTTGGTTGAAGTCTGCTTTTCATGTATTAATTGAATTCAACTGACATGCCAGAAACCAAATCTTCGCATCATATATATGTGAGAACTCCAGAAAGAAATTTTCTCATGAAAGTATCAGATTGGATAAAGAGGGCTTAATTGCTTAAGACCTGACTCGAGAAAGATTTAGCCTCGATGCTAAAACCTATCTCGAAAATACGTAAACTTTAAGAGAGAAAAAGGTCTTGTGGAGATACGGGTTCTGACTTAAAAGTAATGAACTCAGAAACTGAAACAAGAGGAATGCAGATCAGCCAAGCCCAGATAAAATTCAAGAAAGGAGGGGAGAGAAGAGAAAGAAAAAGGAAGTACCATGAATGAGATTGAAGAGACTGCCATTGGGTTGATAATCATAGATAACAAGCCTCTCTCCTTTAGCTTGAAAATAAGCAACGATTGGCACCAGATTCAGGTGTCTCAGCTCACCTACAACATCCATATGCCTCTCGAACACATCACTACTAGTTATTGCAGTCTTACCAGCATCAAGCCGTTTCACTGTGACAATCAATTGATCATCAAGAACAGCTTTATATGTAGTTCCAATCGTACCCCTCCCTAGCAACTCAGCAGATGCCCTCATTAACCGCTCTAATGTATAAACCTGTGCTTTCCCTCCACAAAATACTAAACTCCCGCTCCTCTCTGCTCTCCTAACTTGCTGAACCAGCCCTTCTTTTGCTTCCGTATTTATAGTCTCATGACCCTTCTCTCCAACTTCACTTTGCATTGCAGGTTTCGAATGAATCCTCACCGGAGAACTAGTCCCGGTCATTGCTTGTTCTTTCTCTTCAACTCGTCTTTCTTTCTTCTGTGTCTTGACCAGAACAAAACCAATGCACAGCAAAGAAAGTACTAAAAGGGAAACCCCAATAGTAAATCCTAAAACAACAATACTTCTATCATGTTTTTGCTTCGAAGGCGGAGTTATAGATACTACAACCCCACCTTGAGCTTGAGCACTTTGTCCGAACGGCACTCCTGATGGCGTAATAGCATTTGGAGAAGCTGACGAGTCAAGGAACGGAGACCGTGGCTTAGATGACTTGTTAATAATCTCTCCGCAAAGATCAGGATTTAAGGAGAAAGAAGAAGTGTCAAAACGTGACAATGTAGGGGTCAAAGGGATCGGGCCGGTAAGGTTATTACCAGAAACATTAAAGAAAAAAAGAAGTCCAAGGTCTAACGAAGGGACAGTCCCGTTTAACTGATTAAACTCGAGTTTAAGCAACTTTAAGCGGCCTAAAGAAGATAAGTTCACAGGAATTGGTCCGTTGAGATTGTTGTAAGAAAGGTCAAGAATTGTTAATCTATGGAGTAATAGAATGGAAGGAGGGAAAAAACCAGAGAAAGAGTTATGGTTTAAAATGAGAGATTTTAAGTTAAAAAGTGGGGACAAGTCGGGTATTGGACCTGATAGAGTGTTGTTTTGAAGAGAAAGCACACGAAGTTGGTCGAGCCGGGAAAGAGAGAAGGGAGGAAAAGTGCCACGCAGACCCGAGGATTGAAGGGCAACACGAACAACACGGCCTTGAGCACATTTGATGCCTTGCCATTGACAACAGTCAAAACGTTCGTTAAGTGTGTAGAAGAGTTTGTTGTCTAAGTCAGCTTTGGATTTGAAAGAGAGAATGGAAACTACGTCTGGTGAGAGAAGTTCTGTTGTTTGCTCAAGTAGGCAGGTGGTGAGGGTGGTGGAAGACAGGAGGAGGAGGAGGAGGAGTGGGTTGGTAAGTGGCATTGTGAAGTGGAAAGTGGAGAATGTTGTGTTGGTGTTTGTGTTTCTTTCAATCGGGGATGGTCGTCGGTGGTGGTGGTGGGTCTGGGTTTAAAGTGTGTTGCTGGGCAGCTGGCTGAATGGCTGGGTGTTTCGTGAGTGGGGATTCAGGAAGTCACGTGGAAGGAGGGATTGGAGAAATTCAGAGTGTTGGAGAAGTCATTCTGTTATCATTTGTTTGAAAACAGAAGTAAGCTTGGCAATTCATGACAATATATACTGTTACTATGCAAATATTGAATAAAAACTAATGGTAATTAAAAATATATTATTAAAAATTCTAATAATTTGAATTAAACTTGAAAAAAATATCATTGTAATTAAAACCTCTTTCTTATTGAATTATTTTGTTTTGATAAATATTTTTTTAAATAAAAACTCATTATGATTGTAAGAAAAAGCTTCAATTAAAAAAAATTATGAATCAATAATTATTACACACTTGAACAAAAAAATATAAGAAAGTTATATAAAAATATAAAAAAAATTAATAAAATATATATTTTATTTTCATTGAATATTAATGAGCAAATTAAAAAAAAAATATATTAGTTTAATATATAATTATTCATAAAACATTCGTGAATATTATCATAAAAAGCGCTAATTTTCCTGAAAATTACTTAAATATCTCAATAAATTAGATAATTCTTTAAATATCTTTTAAAAGATTTATTTTAAAAGAATTTTATTCAAAAATAAAAAAAACAAGAAAATAAAATTGAGTTAAAGGTATTCTTAAAAAAAATTAAGTATACATAGATTGAAAAGACAAATAACTCTTAAAAAATATCAAACATGTAATATCCAAAAACAATATAAAGTTGTGTTGGTGTTTGTGTTTCTTTCAATTGGGAATGGTCGTCGGTGGTGGTGGTGATGGTGGTGGGTCTGGGTTTAAAGTGTGTTGCTGGGCAGCTGGCTGAATGGCTGGGTGTTTCGTGAGTGGGGATTCAGGAAGTCACGTGGAAGGAGGGAATGGAGAAATTCAGAGTGTTGGAGAAGTCATTCTGTTATCATTTGTTTGAAAACAGAAGTAAGCTTGGCAATTCATGACAATATATACTGTTACTATGCAAATATTGAATAAAAACTAATGGTAATTAAAAATATATTATTAAAAATTCTAATAATTTGAATTAAACTTGAAAAAAATATCATTGTAATTAAAACCTCTTTCTTATTGAATTATTTTGTTTTGATAAATATTTTTTTAAATAAAAACTCATTATGATTGTAAGAAAAAGCTTCAATTAAAAAAAATTATGAATCAATAATTATTACACACTTGAACAAAAAAATATAAGAAAATTATATAAAACTATAATAAAAAGTTCATAAAATATATATTTTATTTTCATTGAATATTAATGAGAAAATTAAAAAAATACATATTAGTTTAATATATAATTATTTATAAAACATTTGTGAATATTATCATAAAAAGTGCTAATTTTCCTGAAAATTATTTAAATATCTCAATAAATTGGATAATTATTTAAATATCTTTTAAAAGATTTATTTTAAAAGAATTTTATTCAAAAATAAAAAAAAACAAGAAAATAAAATCAAGTTAAGGGTATTTTTTAAAAAATCAAGTATATATAGATTGAAAAGACAAATAACTCTTAAAGAATATCAAACATGTAATATCCAAAAACGATATAACAAAAAAGGTAAATATATGGACTTGTTTAGTATTAATCAATTATATAATTAAAAATAATAAAGTTATATATGAATCTTTACATTGCTTGGTTGTTTATGTTATTAGTAATAAAATTATTTATAAAGAAAAAAATTTGAAAACACTTACGTGGTTGATATAAATAAAATTGACAATGATGATGTTAAGGGCTTTAGTGCATTCTTAGACTCATCTTGCATTTGACATTGAAGACTTCGGTATGCTAACATGGAATTAATTTATAAATTGTCAATGAAAGATCTAGCAAAAAGGCTTCCACATCTTGAATACAAAAAGCAAGTGATCCATGACGCTTGTCAATACAGCAAGCAAGTAAAGAGCTCTTTCAAGGCAAAGAATCAATTTTTTAAATATCATGCACTTAACTCCTCTTTTTAGACTTATTCGGTCATATGCATGTTTCTAGCCTTGGTGATAAAATTCTTGCATTCGTTATTATTGATGGTTATAGTAGATTTATATGAGTTTTATTTTTTTTTTCCTATAAGGATAAGCTTTCTCAAAATTTTGAAAAGGAGTTCTAAATGAAAAAGCTTATTTGATTTCTAAATAAAAAATAATCACTATGGAGAATTTGATAATCTTGCATTTAAGAACTTTATGTAGAAAATGATTTTTAGCATGAGTTTTCTACTCTTGAAACTCTATAACAAAATAAAGTTGTTAAAAAAAAAATTCTCTTCAAGAAATGAAAAAATAAAAAGAATAATGATAAATGAGTATAATTTGCCTTAATATTTTTAGGCAGAAGGACACTTTGTGTTATATTTCAAATTGATTTTTTCTTTGATCTATTTTACATAAAACTCCATATAAGTTTTAGTTTGAAAGAAAACCTAATAATTTTTCATTTTTTTTGTATTTGGGTCAAAATATTTTATTTTAAATAACAAAGATAATTTGAAAAAGTTTGATGTCAAATATAATGAAGATATATTTCTTGGTTATTCCTCTAGTAGTAAATTAGAAAGTAATAATTGTAAAACTCTAGTACTTGAAAAATCTATATATATTGTGTTTGATAAGTCTTTGATCTTCAAAAAGAAAAAAAAAGAGAGGGGATTAATGTAGATGTTATTTTTTATATCTTAAACTCAAATGAAACACAATAAAACACCTCTAGAAAGAATGATCAAAGGGAAAAACATCAAATGACTCCTCAATAAAATGATCAACATGATAAAGAGCAAGCTTTACAAAGTCTTTCCAAAGTAAATTAAAATAAATAAATAAAAAGACTCTCTCAAGATTCAATAATTGGTGACCTATTAGTGGACCTAAGACACAATCTTCTAAGATTAATCAAGTTAATAATGTTTCTTTCATCTCTAAGCTTGAATCTAAAAATTATGATATAGTTAGCATGGTGATTAGTACTTAAAAATATTTTTTTATTAAGATTTTATATCATCATTTTACACTTTAAGTATCAATAACTCATTAACTAAAGCATGTTTTATAATAACATGTCTAATAATATAAGATACCTTTAATTTATTGTAAATGTTCTTCTTAAATGCAGGCCTATCATATAAATCAAATTATTGATTGATGAGTTTAATTACTGAAATTAAGAAGATAAAGAGAGTGTTATGCATAGAAAAAAGATGATGATTCAGTCCAAACTAAAACACTATTCGGTTATTGGATTATAACTGGAGTTGTAGGACTTGGATTTAGGTCCGGTCTATATGGATGGAAAGCTAAGACATAGGCCTAAAACTTTTATGAGAGTCTAAGATTCAAAAAGACTACTTTTAAGTTCAAAATATAACAACAATGGAGAAGTCCGAATCTGTCTTATGACCTAGATATTGTTCAGTGTTTAGCCCATATCTCGAGTTCTAGAAGTCCAACTACACTTATTCTTTTTTTGTTGAAAAGCTGAGACAATTTCTTAGAATTTCATGATGATTATCTGTTTAAATTCTGATGTTAGCAGTGATATTTTATTCAGACAAGAAGATAAAGATTGTTACCAAGTGAAAATGTGGCCACCCACTCAACAATTAGTCATTACATTAATAATTTCAAATTTTAGCCTATAAAAGAAGGTATTTGCCATGCATTTAGGCATATTGGTTTTCAGATCAAGATCATGTTTTTGCTCTCTCTTTATATTTTTGTAATGCTTAACTTTTGTTTTAATTAATCTCTAGTTTATACTTTTAATTTCCTTTACTATACTTATATAATTATGTTATCTTCTTGTTTATTTATGTTTTTTTTCTTCATTATATTTATTCAAGGTGAAAAGGTTATACTAATGGTGTAAGAACAAGTATAGTACAAACTCAACATGGGCTTTAATATTTGATCCTAATATATTTTGTATTTGTTATCTTGTTCACTTTTAATACTTTGCTTGTTAAATGGTTAATCTAGATTTATGTTGTATAACCCTTGGTATAACAAATACTTGACACTTTCATAGCCCAACTGTATGGTATAAACGACATCTGTGCTATGAAAGAAACTTAATTTATTGTTAATAGAAGTTATAATCATGAATACCTGATAACATTTACAAGTATTAATATTATTCGAATAAGATAACTAATGTAATCATGTTAACAATTTATAATCTGATTGAAACCTCCTTTGTATATGGTTTTCAGTTGAGTAATAAAAAAAAACTTATACTATACTTGTTTGAAATACTACTAGTGGATCATCTAATCTTGATAATTATTTTATTATTATTTAATCCTTATATTAATCTTACATCTCAAGAATTCTCTTCAAATCCTTTTTGTTCATTGTTTATAATTATATAATTTTGATCTTGCCAGGTTATTTATTACTTCGACATTTCTATACTTGGAAAAAGATATCAATCTTTTAATCGTGTCAAGTTTTTGACACCGTTGCTAGGGAGTTAAATTCTTGTATAAATTATAATATTTATTTTATTTTATTTTCATTTTTCTTTTATCTAACCTTTGTTTCTTTTATTTTCTTTTATTTTTTTTCTTTTATTAAAAGATAAAGATAAAACTTGACTACAAAATCTTAGGGTAAGATTCATTTGTGCTTGTAATGAAATGTAACAATAATTTTTTAATTTTTTTTTATTTTACAGAACAAACTCTTTCAAAAGACAAATCATCATTTTCATTCAAAAATCAGGAGAAATATTTTACCAATATTGGGATAAGTATCGAGACTTGCTTAATACTTGCCCTCATTATGGTTTTAAAATATGAAGATTGGTTTTGTATTTTTATGAAGGGTTAACACCTAAAGATAGACAAATGGTGGAATTGATGTGCAATGAAACTTTTGAAGATAAACACCCTAATGAAAAAATGAAGTACCTAGAATTGCTATCTGAAAATGCTCAAAATTAGGACACTAAAAACACTTATGAGGCACCAAGTAAAAATCAACCTCATACATCTATTAGAGAAATGTACAACATTGGAGAAGATCATGACCTCCAAGC